ACTGTCTGAAAGCCCTTCCCCTAATCCTTGATGCAAAGGGGTTGTCACTTGGGAAAGAGATCTATTCCATACCAGCCCATCTGTGCTTAAATCTATTCTTGCTTCATATGTTCCAGGACTGAACCATAGCACTGGAAACAGATGGCACAAAGCAAACCATGAACTTTCTTTCCTAGAGAAGGCATGCCAGTTTTCACACACAGAGATTGAACTAAATGCATCCCTGCAGTCTTGGTCCAATCCCATTTTTGTGTTGCTGGGCTACAGCTTTAACTGGCATCACACCAAGACAGCTGGCAACGGCAGCTGTTTATGGGACTGTTCCAAACTTGATGCCTCATCAAGCCAGCACAGTTTCTGTGTCCACCCCCCCTTGCATCCACAACTTTACTAGTTGCATCCCATCCACAGGCCAGGAATACTGCAGTCCCAACTGTGGGCATGATCCAGCCAAAATTTAACAACTTTTAAGTCCCTGTTCACCAATGGTACCTTATGCTCCCATACAAGCATGGTGCAGAAGTGTGGAAATAAGCACTGGGGTGCTTTATGTGTGCATGTCTGTTATCCTGTGTGCTTCTACAGCCTCAGTCAGACCTAGAGAAAGGCGCTTGCTGTGCCTGAGTTGTTGGGGCAGCAGATTCTGACACAATGCTGAATAATCATCCGTCGGGGGCCTGTCAGATCTGTTGACTGCGGGCAGAGACTTCCTCCTCACCAGGTACTGCTCCCCTTTCTTTGTTATCTCCTTGGTGCTGACATTTAAATTGCAAACTCCTCAGGGAGGAAGAGTGATTTTAAAAAATATCACTACACAGAGTTTATATTACTACACAGGACAGCTTAGATGGGACTACATTAAAAAGTGAGAAACCACAAAAACGTGTAAATGATATTTTAAACATTTGTTAACAGCTTCTGAATTCCCTCCCAGTGTGGTTCTCACCCCCACTAAAACTCCCCAGATACCTTTCACATCTCTCTCTCTCTCTCTCTCTCAGTCTCCCTCACACCTACCTGAATCCTATCCACACTTACCTGAGGACAAACCACAATGAACATCCTGAGACGAAGTAAGTGGCAAGGTTCAGGCTGTCAGCAGTATATGATAAATCTGGACAAACACGACCCGATCAGTAAACAAGTATAAAGCCAACAGTCGTGATAGTCGGACCCACAAATCAAACAGTAATTAAGACTTATAAAGAATGCTATGTATTACAATCTGAAGCACTACAACTTGATAAACAAATCATAAGAAAATTATTGAACCAAGGTAAATAATCAATGTCATCTCTGGATTATACAACAACGTTTCGCAAGGCAAGCTTGTGATGTGCAGCGCATCCGGTAGTAGGTAGCCCGTCATTAAAAAGAATCCCCACCTCTGTTCTTGCTCCTCAGCACCACTGAAGCTGGAGCAGAGCCAGGAGAACAAAGGCATGGCTTAACCTAATGCATGGAATCAGGTGGCACAGGTTTTAAAAGACTGTAGTTAGCACATGTGTGTATGTGCGCGCGTGCGTTTTTCTTTGCGGGGGAGGAAGACATCAGGTCACAGCTGACTCATGGCAACCCCGAGGGGTTTTCAAGGCAAGGGATGATCAGAAGTGGGCTTGCCATTGCCTGGGTTCACATCAAGACTCTGGCCTTCCTTGGGGGTCTCCCATCCAAAGACTAACCGGGGCCCAACCCTTCTTAGCTTCCAAGATCAGGCTACCCCGGGGCTATCCAGGTCAGGACTTGTATATGTGTAGGGGAAAGATTTTCTTCCTTCTGACGGAGAAATGAGAGGGGACTGCGACTGGAGGGAATCTAGTAAAGGTAAAGGTTTCCCTTGCTCGAAAGCCAGCCGAATCCGACTCTAGGGGGCGGTGCTCATCTCTGCTTCCAAGCCAAAGAGTCAGTGCTGTCTGGAGACTTTTTCCATTATGTGGCTGGCATGACTAAATGCTGAGGCGCACGGAACGCTGCTACCTTCCCACCGAAGTGGTACCTATTTATCTACTTGCAATTTCTTGCTTTCAAACTGTTAGGTTGGCAGGAGAAACTATTTTAAGTGAATATAAGAAAGAAACAAGGTTAGCTGCATTTGGTTATTGCATAAGCATGTCCTTGCTGAGTCAGACTTCAGTCTGGTTAGTCTGTTTGCAACAGAAGCCAGCCAGGTGCCCTTGGAAAGGCTGAAGTAGGATGCAAAAGTAGGGACTTCCTGTATCGTTTGTCTCTAGCATCTGCTATTTTACAGGCATACAGAATTTGGGTGGGGCAGGTAAAAGGAGCTTTGGGTGGGTGGAACCCAGGGAAAGTGTAAGGGGAGTGGCGTGGTAAGGCTTGGAACTTAAAACATCCTCACTTTTTCGAGGGGCTAGGTGCCACTGGCGCTTAGTATAATAAGTAGCTAGGACTGCCTCCAGACTTTGCTGCACCTTTCCTATCAACACTCCATCTAGCCTGCACAGTGAAGACACTCACAGAAATAAAAATAAACACGTTGAGCAGCTGGAATGTTTATAATCATTCCCTATCATCATCGCTGGGCCAGCGGCTAGGGAAGTCCCAGACAGAGCTCTTCCATCCAGCAGCTACAAAGGTTTCTGCCTACAACACCCACCCGTCAAAGGCAACTGATTTTGCAGTGAAATTTTTCCAATTAATAATTAGGTAAAACTACCCCCCACGCCACATAGCATGCGCCTTCACAGGCTTTCCCATCGCAGCAAGGCGAGGCGTTTTCTTCCGCGGAAGCGTCCCTCCTCGTGCACTATGCCAGGAAGATGGACAGCCTGGCAACAGTTTTCACGAACGATTCTCCGCGCGCCGGACTCCGATCCAGAGATAACAACAGCTGGGCAGGCGAACATTGGAGCGGAACAATGCCAGCTAGCCGTCACCCGCCGGCTCCCACTGCACCAAACGGCGGCAGTGCAGGGGGATTCCCTCCTCCCTGCAAAGAGACTCGGCAGAAAAAGCAAGCGCGTGCGCTGGGGGATTCCCCCTTTCGCGGCTCAGAACGTTCGGGATTGTTCCCAGTGACGTAACACGGGGATGCTCGCGGGCTGGCCAGCCTTCAGTCAAGCGACGCCGCGCAAGGGAAAGTGGGAGGGGGGGGTGATGTTTAGGAGTACTGGGGCCGGTGGGTTCCACGAAACCTCCGCTTGGCGGGTCGCCTTGAAACCGGCGTGGGTTGTCGCTAATAGCTCTCTGAGGAGTCCTCCGCGTCACCAGACCAAACGCCCTTCCTCTCATTATTATTTTTTAGATATTCACACAGCGTCGTCGCCGGCCTCGCGCGCGCTTCCCTCATAGCAGCGCCTCTGGCTCGTGGCGGCGGCGGCGGCGGCGCGGGAGGGGGGGGGGAAGAGGAACTCTCGCGAGGTTTGGGCGCAGAGCATCGGCTGCTGCGGCTCGGAGCGGCGCCATTTTGGGACTGGCTGACTGACTGGAGCGAGGAGTTGTGCGCGCGGCGGGGGAGAAGCGGCGGCAAAAAGGAGCTTTCAAATTCGGGACCCCGCTTAAGCTGCGAGCTTTGCTGGGACTTTGGCTGGCAGGTTAGAGCCGCGCTGCTGCCTCAACCGTCGGGCGGGCCGAAGGAAGAGGCGGCGGAGGAAACAATGTTTATATAGAAGGAGGGGGTGAAAGCTGGGGGGGGGGGGGGGGGGGGGG